GTCTTCTATTTTTCCTCCTCGTCCTCCTCAGCATGATGCCTTGGCAATCAAGTAGTTCGAGTTCTTCTACGAGAAACATGGCATGGAGTAGTGTTGCCTTATCCATAGTGGACACTGAACTGGTGGGCTGGCCAGGGTAGCACCCCAAATTAAAACGTATGAAAACGTATTGACATCGTGCTGAGAACAGGGCGAAAATTTTCACGCACCCGACACGCTTGCGATACGACCATTAAGTTCGTACTATGCTCGAGTTACGTGGGTACTACGCCTTCCACGTCTCTAATACGCCCGCACTGCGCTGTATTTCCGCCACGCGCGCACCACGATTATTTTGAACATGTTCAAAGTTTGGCCACGCTCATGCTGACTGCACCGCGCTCGATCACGATCGCAGTACGTCCATATACGTCCACACTGCGTTCTACACGTTTCCACCACGCTCTTAGAGCGTAGTACGAGCGTAGTGAGATCGGGGCCCTGGTGTGACTGGGGTATAAACTATTACCAGGTAATATGTAATCGAAATTTATATACTCAAACTTGGCCTGTTCAGAGCAGTTAGCTCTTATTTACTGGTGGCCAAGTACAGAACTTCGCGAATACCTACATAGAGGCTACATGTATCTTCTGATGTACACGCTAGCGTGTTCTGCGCAGAGTACTGGCAAAATAAAGCGGCAGAGTGAAAGTTATGACTTACAGCCGCTTACTTTGCTTGTTTATTGTGCCTACATGACGCGAGCCGAGTAGCCACATTACTGTTGATGCTGTCTCATATTTGTTTTATTTCGCCCACCGTGTCTTTGGGCCCACTCTGCAACTGTTTACAACGACATGACCCACGTCAATACATAACTCAAGGCACATGTAAATAGCAGCACGACTCCATTTCCACGTTCCATGTTGGACGATCGCAGACCTGGATATCCTTGTGCAATCAGTAGACGGACGCCAGTCGCGGTTTCATGGAAATTAGGCAATCACAAACAGCTGGTTCATTGATGTGAAGATTAATCGGGAGTAAGCATAATGAAAAAAACAAAAGCCAACTAGCAAGGCTTCAGAAACACTGATGTAAATAATAATGTAAGTCCAAAATTTATTTATTTACACGACAGCTTCTCACGCACTGAAGAAGCTAGCATTTAGCCATGCCAAGTGACCTAGATACAATAATGTCACCCAACGCAAGAGTAGCGATGTCTTGTGTTGGGTTACATTATTGTATCTACAGGCAGCCTAGCTACCAGAACTATCATGTCCCGTTTAGGGAATACTAGGGACAATGATTTTCCGTTTCAAAAAATTGCCTTTTCCGTTTGGGGAAATCATGAATTCCATTTCAAAATAAAGAAAAAATGAAAATTCCGTTTTGCCATAGAGATTGTACACACCAAAAATGCAAAATTCCGTTTACATATATTTGCATGAAAAAAAAGTTTTTGGTACAACCTGACAGTTGGGTTGGCACCGAAACACAGGGCTACCGCAAGTCGTAATTGTAAGTCATTTCACTCTGAAACTTGTCTGAATGTAAACCATATCATTACCAATGATATTGTCGATGGGTTTTTGCGTGATTTTATTGAAATTTCCATGTTGTAATATGTTCAAATTACGTTTTCCGCGTTTTTCCGTTTGAAAACATCTTTTCCGTTTCCAATGGTCGTTTGCGTGTTTTCCGTCCGTTTTCCGCAATCGCGGAAAATCACTGTCCCTAGAATACAACTGCCAGAAATTTTGACTGAAAGGTAATAAGAATTCAGCTGCAAGAAATTTTAAATAAAACCACTTAGGTTAATTAACCATTTAACCCTATACTTTTCAGTTTTACTCCACAGTATAATGTAGCAGTGATCATGTGATTATGAGAAAGGGGATTTATTCCCTACGTATTTAATAAACATGTTTAAATTTCACAAAGTTTAAAGTGTCTTTACTGGTGTTCACTTTTAAAATAAGAGCATTATAAATTTAGTGTTAAAATCATACAGTTTAGTGTTTGCAATTATATGGACCATGTTAATTTTGTGGTATATTCGATGAAATGTGTCTTTGTGATGGTATGACTGGAAACAAATGCTTCTTGGCCAAGCAAACAGCATTCAAGTAAAAATGTTGATTTACATGTAGACGAACTAGCCAAATGATTCAAGCAGAATGAAATGGCTGAAGCACATATACATGAAGGTTATATGATCTTTTTTTATCAACCTTCACGTTAATTAGGGAGCGCAGCAGATCTGAATATTGAAGTTCCATCTATAACAAAAAGTTTAACTGAAAATGATATAGATTTTTAAAATATTACATTATCTTGAGAAACCTTAGGGAACATCTGAGCTATGTGCTTATGTGGCTCGGAATTGTTGACGTTATTACCTGTGGCAATTCAAGCTTAAGGAAATCCACAAATCACGTTATTTATGAGTGCCATGTATAGTAGGACATTCACATACTTAAGGGAGAAAAACATATATAAATTTCAATAACTAAAAAGATTCAGCAAAAAAACATTATATTTGCTGCTTGCAAAATGCCACATTTAAAAAATTTACTATTGCAGTACACCTTTTAATAGAACACTTTTTATATTACTTACCAGTATATGACTAATACAACAGAATACCTATATATTGCAAGCTCTTTCTCAGAATTTAACTCGTACTCGTTTTTAAATGATAAATCATATATAATTTTACAATGAATTATGTAAATTTTACTAACCTTATACTTACCTTCCTTTACGTATCACATTTCTTCTTCAGAATAGATGTTGCTAAAAAGGGGGAGGGGGGATGACAACAGGCATACTTGTGGGGGGAGGAAATTTCATGACTCAACTGTGTAATGATGAGCGACAGGTGCAGTTCTTCATCGACGTCCATAGACTAGTGTGGTAGGGGTGGGTCTGAGACAAGGCTTTCACGGATAAGTGACCAAAAAAATCACGTTAGAATTATTTGCAATTATTAGCTCAGCTTTTTTAAATTTTGCTCCAAAATCTAGGGGGGCAGCTGCCCCCCTTGCCCCACCCCCCAACAGGCTTGGGCCCTGATGACAACGTTAATATTGTAATCATTTTATCCGCAAGGTGACATTTTCCTCAAGGCTGCAGTCATCCGGCTAGAGCAACTTACAGATAATAGCAATAGTCGCATCCATGGGTTTCCGCAATAACCCCGGTTCAAATCCTGGTCACGGCACCAAAATGTAACGACTGGCGCAACGTTACACAATGGAGAAGGTGGAGAGGACGGAGGCTGGTAGAAAGGACGGGCGTGATGTGAGACGGGCGGAAAAGGGAGAGATGAGAAGAGATGAGAGAGAAGATACCAAAAACAAAGTCTGGCGGTACGGGAACACGAAGGATCTTTATTCCAACTCCATTCAAATAGCAGCAAATGCAGAGCCGCTCACATAGGCTCAGGACGGATCGTGCGGTGCCTCGAATTCTCTGCCCCGGCATGGGTATGCGAGCCCTGTTATATCCTTGTGCACGTGTTTTCCGCCTCCTTTGTCTCGGCGACACGGAGGGTGGCAAACATGTCGCCAATTATACCAATAGGTGATTGGTCCCGTAAAAGCCTTTTTGCTACAACTAATTCCGCTGTTATTACAACTTCTAGGTTGGTTATGCAGCCAGCCTTTGGCGACACCGCATCCGGTGTCGTGCCGCTGGCCAAGGTACTTTAGCGCCTATTTCTACGTATAACTACTCCTACAGCTGTGTTATAATTAGCTTACAATGGGGTAGAATTTCCGGCGCAACATTGCTCGCTACATATGCTCAAATTAATACTTATCTCCATGAAACCAACTTCAGTCCACGCAGCTAGAATCCTTTAGACTGGAGCCAGTCCAGGCTGGATGGAATGACAGTGAAATGTAAGATGGCTTACGTTCGAGTCCGATAGATTTCGCGCAATACTTTGTTGATCTTGTTGTAAATGGAGATTTTGTTTCACTACACGTACTTAACAGTTTATTGTAACAGTCTTATATGCTGCACTCACCAGAAGTGCCTGTAAACGAACAGCCCAATGCTGTAGTGTACATCATGATGGTTAAAGACACCAACTCTTCTGACTGCCTTATACTCCATTTCGTTCCCACCGAGAATGTCCATTTAAATCCTTGAATCTTTGGTTCCAGCCACCAGCTTCTTGTAAGATCCACGAAAAATAGCCATGGACACCTGCCCCCAAAAACATTATAGCACAGCTCTTCAAGTCCACAACAACCTGTTGCATTCAATTTGTTACGCCATACTGCTTCTTAACCTCCAAGCCACTTTTTGGTGCCGACGAGTAACTAACTCTTGAATTACAGTCACTGGCGGTACACTATACTCAAGCCTCATATATTCTGCAGCATATAATAAAAAGTGTCGTAGGAAAAGTCAACTCAAGCGATTCGTTAACGTGTTCTTGAAAGTTCTTCAGGGTGGATCCCATTCACTTGTTAATAATCCTTGCTGATGATACATCAATGTGCCATCCCATTCACTGCGCGTCTCAAGGATTTAACCACTGTTTATAAAATAACTTGTTATTAATCCTTGCTGATGATAAATCAATGTGCCATCGCATTCATTGCGCGTATCAAGGATTTAACCACTGTTTATAACATAACTTGTTATTAATACTTGCTGATGATGATACATCATCATGGAGACTGGAGATCCATGCCAAAAATATAGAGCACTGCCAACATCTCCAAGAAATTAGTGGTCAATGCTGGAAAGATCGAAATTCTAAATCTAGTTTAGCCACTAAAGAGAGGAGGCAGATTAGAAGCTTCGAAAAGTTCTTTAATTACCCCAGTACAGAGGTCCGAATGTGCACTAGTGACGTCTAGGCATAGTCCATTTGTCTGTTAAATAGTTCGCTCGTGTCTTCCTAGTGTGCTTATCGACGAGTTTCAGTATGTATGAGAAATCCACAGAATTATTATAAATTTATATTTGCAAATTAATTGTCGCTGTAATCAAACATGCTATGGTGTTACGGCGTGTTCAATCCCAATTTTCTATGCTATAACAGAATAAATTCCTAGTGTTTTTCAAGTTGGTGTAATCGGTAATATATCCGCTATGAGGTGAGACTATATTTCGCTATATTTTTCCCAAATTATGCGTTTATGAGAAATTATTTCGAAATACTGGCTTTAAATAGTTACAAATGCCATACATCCTTCCATTACTCCATAGTTCGTTTTAAGACCACCCTGTTATTAATATACTGTATCAATATATTCGAAGCATGAACCATTCACAAGCCAGTAAATGGCTGTTTGCGTGATTTAGGTAGCTATCATGCAACAGATGCTGTTGAAATACAATGAGATCTCACTTGTGATCTATTTCTTCATAGTATCATGAGTTAATAATGACAAAGGAGTAAGACACCGATTTGGTACTGATTTCACTACATTTTTGTCATACGAGTTCGATGTGAATAAAAATACAAATGTATACAAACATGAGCTTCTTTTGTTCACTGGTCCTTATTCTATCTTCCGGTAGTATTACAAACCGCGTAGCTTCCTTCGTTTTGACATAAATCGTACTTTTGCACATGGTTTTCACGTTTTTGAGCGTCCTCTGGCTAGGCCAAGTGGTAAATTCGCACACACAGCAACTGGAATGAGGCGCGGCAGGGTTTTTAGGCGGTAGTCTAGCCGAGTGCAGAAAATGCGCTTAGAAATTAAGTTACGTTGCACCCATGCTGGGTTTAAAAATTAAAACAATTTTACATTGAAACTATAGTTAGAATGCCTTGTTTTTATGGTTGAATCCCGCAGTTTTTTTTATATACGCTGCGCTGGTAAAATATCTGAACTACTTCACCTGCGGAGGAATGATGTGTATGAATCTTAGCGAGTAAATTGACGCTCCAGCCGATTGTAGCTTTTCGCCCGTGTTTTGCATAGCAACCGTTAGCTCTAGTAACTAAAGCCTGCGTACAGTTGCCGCTGGCGCTGCTTGAGGCGATCCCTGCCGTGCCTCATTCTAGTTGCTGTGTGTGCAAATTTCCCGCTTGGCCTCGCACGAGGACGGTCAAGAACGTGAAAACCATGTCGTGCAAAAGTACGATTTATGTCAAAACGAAGGAAGCTACGCGGTTTGTAATACTACCGGAAGATAGAATAAGGACCAGTGAACAAAAGAAGCTCATGTTTGTATACATTTGTATTTTTATTCACATCAAACTCGTACGACAAAAATGTAGTGAAATCAGTACCAAATCGGTGTCTTACTCCTTTGTCATTATTAACTCCTGATAGTATCCATATTTCCCATGCACAGAATTTTGAATATTGTGGAAATCAATGTTTCTTCTTATTTTTTGCACTTGTTTGTTACAAAGTTCTAACCTGCGTCATCCAGTTGTACAGATCATATCAGATGTGGTAATTCCTTGGTACCAATGTTGTGATACTTCCAAGTAACACAGAATGCTGCAAACAAGTGAACAACCAAGGGTTTCCACTTCTTTCACACTATCTTCTTGCTTCGATTTATAGATAAGTTTAAGGTTTACATAATTACTTTGGAATCAATCACGATTGCCTTTTAGTAATCCATTAAGCGGTTTGCAGAGCCACCAGATCCACGCATTTCAGTGGGCTGCGTATGAAACACAAGATATTGCAAGACTGTGTCTGCGGAAGAATCATGCAGATAATCAAACTCTGCTGTAGCATAACATGAAAACTCAGGTTATCACGATCTACTGATGACCCTACATTCATGTTACTTTACCGCGAAATTACCTTCCAGGTCGAGTGATGTCAATCGATAAACTATCGCTGACACTCTAAACTATTCTGTGGGGACCAACGCCATAAAATATGTATACAGACTAATCCCATTTTAGTCAGTACACTGCATTCCTCACAGCGTGTCCACACTGCTGCACATCTTTAGAGAATGGGATAACCCTCTCATATATGCAGTGCTAGCATTGATCGTGCGACCCTCTCAGAAGCTGGGCCACTAGTTTTCATATATAGTAAAGTTGCGCTCTTATTTACATTTCTTGCAATAATCACTCAGGCAAGCACACTTGCACTCACGCTCACACGTGTATATATATATATGTTCACAAGCATAATCTGTACATGCCTTGGTTTCCAATCGTCTAGTCTTTTTGAGGTGGTCTCCATCGGCTATGCAGCCAATTTCTAGTACATATTACATAACTGTGCAACTGTGTAAGCAACTGTGCAATCTATAAAATGTCTCTGCCGAGTACTCCAGTACTCCAGTAGGGCATGACCAGCAGACACTGCTATTCAAACACATAACTGCAGGCACGTCCAAATATTATCACCAAGTCTCTGAACTGTTTCTCTACGAAAACCATTATGCAACAGACAAAGCATTCAATATCACATCTTAAAGTGAGAAACAAATACAAGATAATTTTATTACAACGGAACGCTGCTGACAAAGAACACCATTCTACGGAAACTTCAATACATGTTTCAAAACTACGTTTTTGATGATCATCTCTGAGACGTACATTATTGACAAAAACAAAGCCTATAGGGCCTATACTACAATAGATATAATATGAGAATGACGATGTAATTATCCACATCAGGGCCTTTACATATAAATCCTAGCTACAATATGGTCCATGGGTGCCGGGGCACACGTAGTGAATCATCAGAAATCAAAACTTCATGACATATAATACATGTGCGCTGTACTTCTAAAATCATCATCCGAACTCCTTCACACTCCAAGATTGTTTCACTTATCTGCTGGACTACACATCTCAAATGCAGTTGCATGAGTAGTTAACTCAAGTGAGATCGTAACACATTTACTGACATAAAATTCCCACAACACATGACACATAGTTACTTCAAAATGATTAATATCCGAGCACGTCTGTGCTTCAATAGTAGGCAAACCAAGCAAGGTTTACAGTTACACTCACACACGCACAACACTAAACACATACGCAATAACTCAAGTCTCTGTTATAACCATTTAAAACTGCTGGACTCTCAGTGTACAACATGATGCAGTTACTATACTGATAATATTATAATAAAACATCTTGAAACAACTCTTCCCTTAAATACACATAGACGCGCATAGCTATTCCTACTGTTGTCTCAGTGCACGAAAGATGTACATACGAGAATAGCAATCACAATAACTACATAGCTCAATCGGAAATTCTCGATAAACTTTCATTTTACAGACATTTATTTGTTAATATTTGAGGGGCAAGTTGCCTATTTCATGCATTTAATAAACTAAAACGGTCATCAGTGATAGTACTTGCTGTAACAAATGTACACAAACTTGCACAGGATAGCGTAGTCATGGTCAATCATAAGGTATATATTTACATTTACAATGAAGGCTTGGCAAAATTTGTCCGGAAATTCCCTCGAATGCAATTCTTGTACATGAACACCTTACGTGCACAACTGCAAATTAACGGCAAACAGCAATTGTCCAACTCAGTTTGCAATCTCATATTTATAGCAAACACAAATTATTATATTCATAACCTTTAGTTTTTTTTGTTAAAATTAAAATCAAAACCGCCCTGCTTCAATATGTTGAATAGCCTGCATTGTTTGTATGTTCCCAGAAAGAATGCAGCCATCATAATTCCACACAATACCGGTATGCGCTCGCTCACGTGCTCGATTACAGCTCTCAGTATCTACGACGCTTTGTATCACCAACACCAGCGAAGTCCTCGCGGCCACGGCGATCACCCAGGCGGGGAAGCGGCGGTGGCTCCCTAAGCAAACCCATGTCCCCTCTTCTGTTCCCCATTCCACCACGAGGACCCATGTCCCTGACCATGTTCCCAGCATTGGCAATATCGCCCATTGCACCCGCCATCATGTTTCCGGTTCCGGCAGTAGACCCACTCATCTGATTTTCGAATCCCGGTTCGCGGTTGCCCATATTACCGCTGTTTCCCATATTACCGCTGTTTCCCATGTCTTGGTTGCCGCCCATCGCGGTGCCACCGCTGCTGCTGAAGTTTGCGCCTCCATACCCACTGCCGCCCAGTCCTCCCTCAGTTGACATCTGGCCGGTTCCGACGTTGGTGTTAGTACGGCGGCGGATGATCTCCTCCTGCCGCTGCCGGATGAGGAGCTCGTTGCGGGTACGCTCCTCCTCGCGAAGCCGGTCCTCCTCCTGTCTCCGCATCTCCATCTCACGTCTGCGCACCTGCTCCTGAGCGCGCGCCTCCTCCATCCTCGTCAGCTCCTCCTGCCGCCGCATCAGGTCCTGCCTCATCAGCATCGTCTGGTGGTCGTGCCATGACTGGTCCATCTCCATCTCCAGCTTCTCTCTCGCCTCTCTGATGTTCTTCTCCAACTGGTCTCTCTGCGTCTTCTCGAGCTCGTACAGCTGCTTCCACCTGTTGCCAAACTCCAGCTCAAACGATCCAGGAGCGGCGAATCTTGGCTTGGCCTCGCGTTCGCGATGAAACATGGCGTTTTTCATGATGGCCTTTTCAGACAGACCATCCTCCTCATCTCTTTGCTCAAGGGGATGGACAATGATAGGTCTAGGTGAGGCAGTCAGAAGGAACACAGACTCGTTCACTCTGGACATAGCATTCTGGGCTGATACCTTCCTCTCAAACTCGACTATACCCTCACCAGTTGGCCGGCCTCTCTCATCAGGAATCACGATTGCCCTCTCGATACGTCCGAATCGTGAAAACGCTTCGTCGAGCAACTCGTTCGAGACGGACGGGAGAAGATTCTTCACTTTAATAGCAGCTGTGTGGGCTGCAAAGCGCACACGCAGCATTCGGCCTTTCCTTGTTATGCCATCCAGTGCAGCTTTGGCTGCCTCAGCATGGGCCCTGGTGTCCAGTCGAATGAAACCGAAGCCTTTCTCACGATTGCAGTATGCCTCCGAAACCTCTCCGTGATCCTTGAACAGCTTGTTCATTTCACCTTCGTCGAAATCGTTAGTGAAATTTCCGACGAAGAGACGACAGCGACCGGTGAATTTCTTCACCTCTTTCGGCTTGTCTTCCTCCTGGGCCGCGGCGCGCTCAGCCTCCAGCTTTGCAGCTTCGTTGTTCATCTGCATCTGGTTGCGACCATGGAATCCTCCTCGACCACCACGGCCAGCGCGACCATAGCCTCTTCCACCGATGCCACCGCCGATGCTTGTGATGCCGCCACCACCACTGCCGCCGCCACCGCTGCCGCCGCCACCACCGCCACCACTGCCGCCGCCACCACTGCTGCCGCCGCCACTGCCGCCGCCGCCTCCACCACTGGCAGGGCCCCCACCACTGGCAGGGCCCCCACCACTACGGTCTAACCCCCCGCCGCCGCCTCGACCTCCACGGTGGTCGTACCCTCCTCGTCGGTTATCAAACCCGCTACGTCCGCCGCGATCCATGCGGCCTCTGTTGCCTCTGAAGCTGCCACCGCCACCACCACCACCTCCAACACCACCACGGTCAACACCACCACCACCACCACCGCGTCCACCACGTGCTCCTTCAGGCTTGACGGTGAAAGGTGGTTGGTTGTCTCGCTCTCCATTAGTAGGCTTTACGTTCACGTTGGGCTTATCTGGAGTTGGCCCAGGTTTTGGCGTAGAGACGGCTTTCGGGTCGAGTTTTGGAGGTGGCGTTTGCTCAGGCTTTACACTTGCCATTTTACGTTGATTTGTTGGAACTACAGTAACCTGTTGGTAACAAATAAACTGCGAGGTAAGGGGCTGGGAGCTCAGAACCCTAACAGAAGTCCCATGGAAGTAGTTGGATATAATTTGGTATTGAATACAGATGTTTTACAATGGCGGTCGTGTTCCTATAGCGTGCAAAGTTGCCTGTCTGAAAAACAAGTATAGGGACTAATAGTATTAGTTCACAGACTTTCGTGTAGCAGAATATCATGACGCACTAACTGCCGTGTATGAGAACATATACCTGTACCTATGCATAGGCACAATTATGTCCAACCTACACGACATGAAGGGTGAATTAGGCAATGTCATTCCATACAAAGTCAATATTTTGCGACCATTTCATACAACTTACCACAATATTGCATGCCTAGAGGTTCAAACCTTTCAGATGTACTGCACAACCTGTACAGCCAAATAAATATGGGCACAACAGTCCTGCCCAGCCAAGTGTTTAACGACCACCCAAACTATCCAGAAATCCTCAACAAAGTCACTGTCAAAACAATGCCGCACCTGCTGTCAAAGCTGATGTACTGGTAGTGCTGTAACCAGTTACCGCCTCTACAGAGAGCCTATTAAGCACATCAGCCTATCAGCTGTTGCTGCTGCCCAAACGCAAGCATCATGCAAGATTATATTAAGTTAAGAAGTTATTAAGACCTGACTGTGCAAGCCAGCCAAGGCTGATTTTTAATGAACCCTAGCTTAACTGTGAATACATATTCTACCTACTTATTCTACTAAATTTTCAACCATGCTATTGACCCAGTACGACGTGCCAAGTCAAACTTTCACCAACTGACAGCACAGGTGCCAATCATAGATTATCACAACACAGGGGTTTTCTGCTTAATTTTGGATGAAAATAAAGCTTGAACAGCAGAACACCACCTTTCGTCACCACCAATACACCATTCCATCTCAGCTCTGTATGAAAGCCCAGTGATTGTCTTGACGTTTTATTTGCTGTAAATGCACCAATACTTGCACTAAATGCAGAGTATTTAAAACCTCAAAAAGACGTGAGTCAATATTAGTTGCAAATTCAGTGTAACAGCATCCACACATTCAGAAGACATTCTTTCAAAAGAACGTTCTGATAAACATACTATGCAGTATGCGCAAAATTGGTATTCAGCTCAGGCAAAGAATATGCTGATCAGCAGATCAGCAATTTGTCCGTCAACTAAAAAAGCACTGCTTAGTCTTCTAAACGTAATAAGTGCCACTGTGGACAGACACAACAAGTCCTGACTGTAGAGGGTTTAATTAAAGCCACATCTTTAGTGCATTCGGAACTCTCAATATCTACTTGGTTCACACTAGTCAACTCGTAAGATCGATTACTAAATACTAATGTATCAGTTTCTATAAACCATACCCAGTATGATAGAGCTAATCCAGTAGAATACCACCATTCAACTGGTGGCATGATTCGCAAGAATTTATCTCCAAGCACACTGAAACGGAGCAACAGCTTTTACTGCATTTAATTAGCACGCATAAACCTAAACACTCCCGGTGTTTAAATTTTTGCTGGAAAGTTTTTTTTTATTCATTGTAAAGGAAGGATAGACTAAGTCATCTACCAAGACCATACAAAAACCAAGTAAAGGACTATGGAGAGGAGAAAGAGATAAATGGGGAGTACGAGGAGACAGTACAAGTGCCGCATAGCGACAGCGCTCATCTAACGTCTACTGCGGTGACTCTGTGGTGGAGTGGTGGGATTCTAGTAAACCCTGTTAGTCCCAAATGTGTTCACATACACGCCGAAACAGTGGAATGCACAGGGATGGTATCAGGAACCTTCTCAAAAGAAATGTTCGTTGGGATCGTTATGAAAGTTGCCACGAGATGGTTAAGTGATCTTCAGATTAAAGAGTGGAAGCTCCCATCAATTCGTAGTAGCAACACTATTTGCAAGACAGAATCTAGGTAAGCACTCATCCATTTACCTACGCAAGCCACAGGCTGGCAAATTTGCAATAGAGAGCTGCCACCTGTAACCAATTAATGCAGGCAAAAACTGCCCCAACACATGCACAGCCACTGGCAGTGGCATACGTGACATGTAACCAACTGACAGTACAGAATGACATAGAAATTATACGATTTAAGGAATATACACCTTCTTTAACCAAATTTAGCTTTTGAAATTTCACTGTACAATTGTAGCCTCATACATCCAGGCATGTATAGATTCTACTAGCAAACCCGGCAGTCAAATTCTTTCTAACAGACAGTCAACAAATCCATGTTTAACCCTCCTCTTGAGGTAGGGGGAGGGGAGGGAGTGGGGAGGGGTGGGGGAGGGGTGGGGGAGGGTGATGGCGGGAGCGGGATGGTAGGGCGAGGGGGGGAGGGGAAAGGGGAGGGTGGGGGAAGGGGCTCTAATAGCAAAAAGCAGTTCACTCCTTTGTTAACAGTCAACAAAATCCATGTTTAACCCTCTCTTGAAGGGTCAAAAGGTTATCGACACTTCTACTCTTCGCATGTCAGCAGACGGGAATTCATGGTCGCCTTCAATAAAAGCGCATAAAAACTGCTAGGTCACACGCTGAAACAAATAAAGTTTTTCCAATCGCTCCGTCAGGAACCATGTTCTCAGAAAATGCATCTAAAATCTGCCCTGTGCGCCCGATTGACCTTTGACCTGTGACGCTCCCCATTTCGGCACAGTGGATGCCTTTCCTTACCATGATCCTGATAACACCGACTTATCACGAGCCTAGGTCGAGCCGTTTAGATTTGTGCCGCAATTCCTGCATTATCCTCCCTATAACCTTAAGTTAAAGGCAGTTGATGTTCCCTCTTCTTTTACACCTCATTGACCTTTGACCTTTGACCCCAGGCTTTGACACCCAAACTCGTTTTGACGTTCCCCCAAATTGCCGAATATGTGACCCGTACGTCGAGGGTTAGATTTGTGCCCAGACTGTTCGACGCGCACGCCCACGGAACGGACGATCGGACGGACGATCAAGCGATTCTACAAGCTGCATCTGACTATGTCAGATGAGCTAAAAATGGTGATAGAAAGGATGGGGGAGAAGATGTAGCAAAATCGAACAAACGCTACAAATAGAAGACCTTATCTCACATGGACACACAAACAGATACATTGGACAATGTACAGTGTTATTTGTATGCAAAAAAATCCGGTATGTTAGTCAGGCACACCCAAGACAGGTTAAAAGGTAGGTTAACTGTTTTCAGATTTTTTTGAAGCATTACAGGCTTACAGCATTAACGAACACTAAGCAAAAGGAAAAATATCAGTTCTCATCGAATCATCTTCACATAGAATATACCAACTCAATGTTTGAGGTGTTGGAGAATCGTCGGTTTCAGCAGCATTAAGCAAATGAGCACATGTATGTATACCGTTTAGTCATTCATTAGACAATATAATTTACACTGTTTTAAAAAAGACAAGCTTGTACGACGAAACTTTCTTTTCATCTAAATTCTGAATATCCTTTAGTAAACCTCAAATATTGTTAAGATTACAAAGAGATTTCACTGCATGCTATCATACCAAAAAAACTGAATAGCCTTCATTTTCAATTAAGTTTCTACTGATAAAGAATGCTTCATATCTTCATATATAATGATGTACTACGATCATTTACGCAAATTTATTGCCAACCAGGTTTCAACAATCTTATTGGGAAACCACAGACGTCGCCTGTATGCAGCTTCAATGGAGTTCTTTAGCTACAAAATGTACCCATGCCATTGAGTACAGCATGAACCTGATAACACAACCAAACAATCACAACTGTGTGGGGAGTAGTATGCCTTCACGAACCATGCGCATGTTGTCGCGACTTAAGACCAATCAAAGCATGTACTTGGCTCAGCTCACAGTGGTGTTTCTGACACCAGGTTGACTACAAATAGATCTACGATTGCCACTGCCTCGATTACTGCAGAACAATCAGTAATGAATCGGTCTGGTTTCACAAAAGACACTCTTCAGCAGGACTGAAATGTAACCCGTACTTCTTTTCACATATATGCATGCAATATATAGAGGTAAATTATTCATTGATCAAACAGATCTGACTTGAATGGAATGACATTAACCCAAATTCACTGTACGGTAGCCGCGAGTAGTACAGCTCTGTGAAATTAAGAGTCAGTGCTTCTGGTGATATAAAACTTGTAATCATCTACAGATGGAATTGTCAGGATCAAACCAATTTCATTGCGCTGGAAAAGATTTACAATAAAAATAATAAATAAGGCACAATTGCAATTCACGTAGCCACTACCAGTGGTCCACTAGTTGTGTGGTAACAACTAAGTTGCCTTTTTCATTTCTACTTCATGTTCCAATTCAGGTGAATTTACGCACGTGTAGATTCCGATTAAAAAGTGATTTTCCATGGATGTCTAATCTGTGGAAAGTAAACCAATATCGAATAAATGAACTCGGCATTCAACTCGAACTTGAATGTTTTACCTGTTCGGAAGGCTGCGTAGTAGCACAAAGTAATCTTTTAAAGCCCACCTACACATAATAGCATTACGTGATATTGCATGTGGATATGCAATAACTGTAGTGTGTTGAAGCTGAATAAATCATGAGCGCCGGAATGATAGTAATATCCCCATTTGCAGACTGTCACCAAGCAGTCATGACTGCTACGCATGTTACATTGGCATTAACTTGACTGTAGATCACCATTCAATAATAGCCATTTCCAGTGTGCAAACACAAGGTGCCACATTTTCTATCTTTCTTCACACGATCACGGAAAGATCATAAAAGACATCACACCTGAAAAATAATGTAATAATTATAATACTCTCAGCGTGACAAAAGTTTTAACATTGCCACTCCTTCCCAAACTAGAAGTGTAGAGTACCATCCCGCATTACGACAACCCAGGTTACGTATATTCGCACATAGGCAACACATGAATTATATCAACTTTACTGCGATACAAGATAAAAGTTCGCTATTCTGTAGTTTAAAAAAATGAGAG